GGTTCCCGATTACGGCTTGCTTCTTTAAAAAGTCGCTGCAGAGCTTCTTACTGAGTCCGAACGCCAACATGTTGTGTGTGAACGTCCTGCGGGCACAAGAACGAGAAGCTGGGATCACAATACACGTCATAGAGAACCGCATGGCGGCTTCCACTGCCCCTCCCCCTCTGGAGCCCCGCTGGCCTGGAGCCCCGCTGGCCTGGAGGGCCACGGCCAAAAGTTTCTGCACACCTGACCATCACACCTGTGTGAGCTTCTTCATCTGTATATATAGCTCTGACATATACCACAGCGCTGTACAGAGGCCACTGAGCCAGTCACATCAGTCTCTGTACAGAGGAGCTTACACTCTAATGTCCCCTCCCCCCCACAGTCACATCAGTCTCTGTACAGAGGAGCTTACACTCTAATGTCCCCTCCCCCCCACAGTCACATCAGTCTCTGTACAGAGGAGCTTACACTCTAATGTCCCCTCCCCCCCACAGTCACATCAGTCTCTGTACAGAGGAGCTTACACTCTAATGTCCCCTCCCCCCCACAGTCACATCAGTCTCTGTACAGAGGAGCTTACACTCTAATGTCCCCTCCCCCCCACAGTCACATCAGTCTCTGTACAGAGGAGCTTACACTCTAATGTCCCCTCCCCCCCACAGTCACATCAGTCTCTGTACAGAGGAGCTTACACTCTAATGTCCCCTCCCCCCCACAGTCACATCAGTCTCTGTACAGAGGAGCTTACACTCTAATGTCCCCTCCCCCCCACAGTCACATCAGTCTCTGTACAGAGGAGCTTACACTCTAATGTCCCCTCCCCCCCACAGTCACATCAGTCTCTGTACAGAGGAGCTTACACTCTAATGTCCCCTCCCCCCCACAGTCACATCAGTCTCTGTACAGAGGAGCTTACACTCTAATGTCCCCTCCCCCCCACAGTCACATCAGTCTCTGTACAGAGGAGCTTACACTCTAATGTCCCCTCCCCCCCACAGTCACATCAGTCTCTGTACAGAGGAGCTTACACTCTAATGTCCCCTCCCCCCCACAGTCACATCAGTCTCTGTACAGAGGAGCTTACACTCTAATGTCCCCTCCCCCCCACAGTCACATCAGTCTCTGTACAGAGGAGCTTACACTCTAATGTCCCCTCCCCCCCACAGTCACATCAGTCTCTGTACAGAGGAGCTTACACTCTAATGTCCCCTCCCCCCCACAGTCACATCAGTCTCTGTACAGAGGAGCTTACACTCTAATGTCCCCTCCCCCCCACAGTCACATCAGTCTCTGTACAGAGGAGCTTACACTCTAATGTCCCCTCCCCCCCACAGTCACATCAGTCTCTGTACAGAGGAGCTTACACTCTAATGTCCCCTCCCCCCCACAGTCACATCAGTCTCTGTACAGAGGAGCTTACACTCTAATGTCCCCTCCCCCCCACAGTCACATCAGTCTCTGTACAGAGGAGCTTACACTCTAATGTCCCCTCCCCCCCACAGTCACATCAGTCTCTGTACAGAGGAGCTTACACTCTAATGTCCCCCCCTCAGTCACACACTATTATAGGTCAGAGCCTCCCGGAGGTGGGACTGTTGCTGTCCTGTCTATCACCGGGCTCTATGATCTGTACGGTTGGGCACACTCAGGAGCTGGGAGGCAGCTTTGTTACCAGCACTGGGTCGGAAGGCAATTCTAAACCTTCCATAGATAACCCGGAATGTTGGGATTCCTGTGTCCCGCGAGTTGCTGGCTGACGTACCCGAGCTGACCGAAGGTGATGTTCTCGTTGAATTGCAGGCTGTCGTCTCGCTCCTCCTGCGTCATGTGATACCATTTATCTCTGCCGGGCGACAAAAGGAAACCGCGGTCAGCCGCGGCGCCCGGAGACAAGGGGGGCGGAGACCAAGAGGCATGCTGGGAGATCGCAGAGCCCGAACCCGATGGAGTCACTCTACATTCACACGTATATACATCGTATACCTGGGGAGATTCACTCTAGATTCACACGTATATACATCGTATACCTGGGAAGATTCACTCTACATTCACAAGTATATACATTGTATACCCGGGAAGATTCACTCTACATTCACACGTATATACATTGTATATCTGGGGAGATTCACACGTATATACACTGTATACCTGGGAAGATTCACTCTAGATTCACACGTATATACATCGTATACCTGGGGAGATTCACACGTATATACACTGTATACCTGAGAAGATTCACTCTACATTCACAAGTATATACATTATACCTGGGAAGATTCACTCTACATTCACACGTATATACACTACATACCTGAGAAGATTCCCTCTACATTCACACGTATATACACTATATACCTGAGAAGATTCCCTCTACATTCACACGTATATACACTATATACCTGAGAAGATTCCCTCTACATTCACACGTATATACACTGTATACCTGAGAAGATTCACTCTGCATTCACACGTATATACATCGTATACATGGGAAGATTCACTCTACATTCACACGTATATACATTGTATACCCGGGAAGATTCACTCTACAGTCACACGTATATACATTGTATACCCGGGAAGATTCACTCTACAGTCACACGTATATACATTGTATACCTGGGAAGATTCACTCTACATTCACACGTATATACATTGTATACCCGGGAAGATTCACTCTACATTCACACGTATATACATCGTATACCTGGGAAGATTCACTCTACATTCACCTTGCACTCCCAGACTTCTCCTCACCAGTTATTTGAAATCTCATTTCCACCAGATGAAAGCTGAAATCAGGCTTGCAGTGAGATGATCTGCTGACGGTGTGATGTCATTGTGGGCGGGGCTAAGTCTACGAAGGAGCTGGGAGTGGGCGGAGGAGGAATAAAGGGATCTACATTCACACGTATATACATTGTATACCCGGGAAGATTCACTCTACAGTCACACGTATATACATTGTATACCCGGGAAGATTCACTCTACAGTCACACGTATATACATTGTATACCTGGGAAGATTCACTCTACATTCACACGTATATACATTGTATACCCGGGAAGATTCACTCTACATTCACACGTATATACATCGTATACCTGGGAAGATTCACTCTACATTCACCTTGCACTCCCAGACTTCTCCTCACCAGTTATTTGAAATCTCATTTCCACCAGATGAAAGCTGAAATCAGGCTTGCAGTGAGATGATCTGCTGACGGTGTGATGTCATTGTGGGCGGGGCTAAGTCTACGAAGGAGCTGGGAGTGGGCGGAGGAGGAATAAAGGGATCAGTCTCCCCTCCCCCAGTGATCAGTCTGCTGCAGATGAAGGCACTGTCAGGGGGGAGGGGTCCTGCGATCTCTGTGAAAGGCAATGAACACACAGATGACCCCCAACATCCGATCTCCCTCCTTCCTGCCTCATCACATATCATCTTACACAGCTGGTGCTTCCATTGCAAGCCTGATTTCAGCTTTCACCTGGTGTGCAGGCAGATTTCAGTCACTGCACTGGCTGACTTATGGGACCCGAGAGGTGTTTTTATACTGGTGCCGGTCATCTGGAGGAGCAGGAAAGGGAAATCGCCGGCAGCAGGCACCCCAGGGTAACCCTTTCCTACCCCATAGAGCTTGGGAGGGGCCACTTCTCCAGCTCAGCCAATGGGGAGCAGGGACCCGATTGTATCAACAGGAAGCAGAGCGTGCCTCGGGGACTCCCCAATGGGTGACTATCGGCTGAGCCTGGAAAATGGCCCCGCCCTCTCCTCCGTCATCATAAAGTCACGAACACAGATCACTGCAGCCAATCAGAACGGCGGAACCAACCTCTCCTCTTCCTCCCCCGCAGTCCCTCTGGAGCCGCAGAAAGAGAGTCAGCAAAAAGGTGAAAGGTTAGAGCGAGACATAAAGAATGACATCACAGGCAAAAGAGGAGGCAAGCTATGACATCACCGAACCCCCCTCCCCCCAATCTGAGACCGCCAAGTGAAGCAGAAGATCTCTCTGTCACTCTGCTCCCTACTACTATCAGCGTGTTCCTTGCAAGCACATGAGCACAATTGATGGAGTTCTGCTGTATAGGGACTGCAAGAGGCTGATACCAGGTCAGGACACAAACTACTGGGAGGAAATGTCACCATTGTGGGAGGGGCAGAGACACAAACTACTGGGAGGAAATGTCACCATTGTGGGAGGGGCAGAGACACAAACTACTGGGAGGAAATGTCACCATTGTGGGAGGGGCAGAGACACAAACTACTGGGAGGAAATGCCACCATTGTGGGAGGGGCAGAGACACAAACTACTGGGAGGAAATCTCACCATTGTGGGAGGGGCAGAGACACAAACTACTGGGAGGAAATGCCACCATTGTGGGAGGGGCAGAGACACAAACTACTGGGAGGAAATGCCACCATTGTGGGAGGGGCAGAGACACAAACTACTGGAGGAGATCTCACCATTGTGGGAGGGGCAGGGACACAAACTACTGGGGCCGGTTGGCTGTGACTCTCTCGGGATCCGTGTCAGATGTGAAGTTTCTCTTTTATTGAATATTTAAATAAAATGCGGAATCCCCCGTCAGGCGGGATCCGGTTTACGATCACAGGCAGATGTTCAGCCGACTCCGGTGGCCTTTGGTGACGCTTTCTCGGCGCAATTAACCGCCGCGGATGACGGCTCCGGGAGTAAAGCGCCGGCCGCAGAGGACCCGAGCA